GGTGTCTGGAAGACTCCATCTCAAGTGCAGCGAATCTGGTCCAGTATGAGTATGACAGCCAAGCCACATCCACTTCACCTGGTAAGCTAGGCTGGCACTGCAACGCATGTAGTACTTGTAATCGCATGGTACTACTAGCGCGTGTGCTGTCGGCACGACCACGTACTGAAATTTGGATACCATGTGGAACGGAACTCGTGTGTTCCCGTGGACCATATTATGGAGCCCGTTTGGCATGGCTCCGGCAGCTCCAGCTCCCGCTGCAATTCTACTGTTCATTCACTGTAGCTGGAACCGGTTTTCTCTCTCCTTCCCTCTCCCTCTCACAGCCAGCGGCTTCACCGGTGAAGCTCAAAATTTTGGCTCCGTAAACAGTACCCCCGAGCTACAGTGAGAGAAGAAAGAAGAGGGAAAATCGGCTCCAAACTATAGTGTTTCTATAGTGATCTGTCAGCGGAGCCGGAGCTACCGGAGCCATGCCAAACGGGCGTGCTATAAATCCAACAGTGTTTCACAATTCACACTGCATAAATCATAGACCCGTTTGGTACAGCTCTCAGTGACGTAGTTTTATTTAGCTCTAGCTTCACTCGTTAGAGAAACATTTAACAAAACAACTTCGTGGTGTTTAGATCCAGTGACTAAAATTTAGAAGGTGTGTCGTGAAGATGTTGCATGAGGTGTTCGGATACTAATAAAAAAACAAATTACATAATCCGTCAGTACTCTAAGAGATGAATTTTTTAAGCCTAATTAATCCGTCATTAGTATATGGTTACTGTAGCACCATATTGTCAAATCATGGACTAATTATGCTTAAAAGATTCGTTTCGCAAATTAGTCACAAACTATATAATTAGTTTCGTAATTAGTCTATATTTAATACTCCATACATGTGTCCAAATATTCGATGGGACAACGACTAAAATTTAGAAACCAAACACCACCTTATTTTTGAATTAGGGATCCACTTATCATTGGGCTATCTTTTATATTTTTTTCTCCACCTTTTTTATTCTTTCTCTCCCGTCTCTCTCACCTCCGTCTGTATCTCTCTTGCCTGTGCCGCCACCCCCAATCCCCACGTCGGGACGTCGGCCCCCCTCCACCGACTCCGAGACTCTCTGAACCGGTGTCGAATCTTCTTCCGCCGACCCCCATCCTACGAGCTCACGCAGCGGTAGGGCCGTACGAGGCAGGACGCTTGTGGCCAGCCAAAGTTCGGCGCGAACCGTCCGGCGCGAAAAGCCCCGCGCGTGACGGGGATCTTGTCGCGTTCGGTCGGTGCCTTTGGCGATCGACGCGCGCGGCACCGGCACGGCAGGGGGCCCCAGCGGGCCACCGGCCCCACCGGCACGGCTCGGGAAGTCGGAGGCCCACCGGGACGAGGCTGCGAAGCGGGGCCTGAGAGGGCTGCGCGCTGTCGTACGCCGGGGATGCATGCAGGTAGGGAAGTGGAGTGGATCCAGGTCCGAAGCCAAGTCAGGGTGTACAAGTAGTTGGGCTTATTCAGCGACGGTGAAACGGGCCTAACTAATTTCCTCTGGAGTTCAGATTTTGAGCATGCGTCGGATTCGATCCGATGCTCTCTACACTCTCTCCCTCTGTAAAAAAAATAACATCTAGAATTTTGTGCAGATGAGCTTTCTTAAATTTGACCAGGCTCGTAACAAATATTAACAACATTTATATAAAAATCTAAATAAGCTTATTATAAAAATATGTTTGAACTATCTATTCATACACTATAAATACCAATAATCTTTTGTACATATATGTGGTCAAAATTAAAAATATTTGATTTCTTAGGAGGCACACCCTCCGTCCCAAAATAAATGTATCTCGTTCATTGAGGTTTTAAAGTTTAATCAAATATATATCCAAAAATATTAATATCACGATGTATAATAAGCATTACTATATTGACGTCGAATGTACTTTTCATAAGAAATTACTTAGAGATACAAATATTGATATTATTTTTTATATAATTAGTCAAATTAAAAGAGTTCTACTCTTTGAGAAGCGTGACGTGTATGTATTTTAGAGCGGAGGGAGCAAGAATGGCACTCTTCCTGAGATGGAGAAAAGTACGTGGCACTCGCTAAGCTTCCACTTAGGTGCCGTTTGAATCATTTCATTTGGAGGAATTAAAATCTACTTAATAAATTAGGTTATTTGGCTTGGAATTTGACATTACACCACTTTCCAAAGTTCACATATAAGCTTATCTGAAATTCATAGGGCGAGAGATTGAAATTGATTCTCTATATCACCATTCTATGTTTCTACTTTGTAACTTATAATATACTCTTCAACTCGCTCCTCTATGGTAGACATACAACACATAAGTATCTCTCTCGTATATGCAACAATAATATACAAATATAATCTATAAACAACCATATTAGCTTAATTAATATGTGTATGAATTAAGATTATTAAAATAAATTTAATTCCGATGATCCAAACGGGGCTCGCCGAAAACATAGCTTTGTTTATGTCACGTTATCTCTAACTATAGATAACGTATATGCATGTATGCCGCTATGCGGTACGGTCGTAGGCCTCGCAAATCAAGCTTGATTTCGATGCCGCAACCGCATAGTTGTACTTACTTGACACTTATATATATATATGTGTGTGTGCGTACACGTTGTATGTATGTGTGTGCGTACACAGAGTCACACACGCATGTATCTCCAGTGCATGGAGGGCAGAGCCGTGTAAGCTAGGACGATAGTCGATAGATCCTAAACGATACTTGAGATCAATCACTCCAACTCTCCGAGATACGATTTGTACACGCACGCACGAGAGTGGGTGAAGCGCAAGACTTGCACTACCCGTGGTCTCCGCTTGATATGTTTTTTTTTTTGGAATGTCTCCGCTTGAATTATATTTGTTGCTGTTGGACAAAAGCAAGATTTATTCGGTCTTTACCTTAAAGAGATATGGAAATCTGCAAGCACCTTACTTTTGTTACCCCCACCCTATAATCATGTCCTTGACCCTGCGAATTTCTATGATCTAATCAATTTTGCATAACGGCACAAGGCTTTGGAAAACGGCCGGAGCAAAACACCGGGCAACTCTTCTTTTTTCTTGATCCTTTTCTACGTATACTTTACTTTGGGGGTTGGCGTGCTAAAGCGCGTTGTATAGTGCTGATTTGGCCATCTTTGACTTTCTCATCTTTAATAAAACAAATTCGTTTAAAAAAATCAATCTTGCATAAGATATGTGTAGCTTAAGCTTATTATTAGTTATATATGCTCGCGCATGTGTGCACATTATTAAAGTTAGTACTCGCATTGCCAATGTTTAATCTCTTAGAAAACTCTTAACGAGGTACGGAGTAAACTAGAGTTATGTTCACTACTTTTTATTATATCCACGAGAAAATGATTGATTTAAGGTAAGGTTTTCAGCCTCTCAAACCAGACATCAGACACTTCCTTTTATTGTCTGCTTGTCCACAAACATTCATAAACAAGGAGGGAAGTTCTCTCTGTTTTTTTTTTGGAAAAATAGGAGTATGCTTATTCATATAAATATGTTTAGTATCTTACTATTACCACATTAATTCTCACGAGATGCATTCAAAAGGATAAATCATAAAAATACTTACAAAACAAGAAAATACCTAGACATCAATTCAATTGACTAATCACCGTTCAAAATAATACCCACTAGATCTATTTTGTTTTCTAAAAAAATCACCTTCCTTTGTTATTATGAAAAAACGACTTATAGTAACTCCTACATCTAAGCATCTAAATTACACATATGTCATTGTGAAACATAATCTAAAGTAACTCACTAAACTTGCATGTAAGTTACTCACCCCATTATCAAGATACATAATCTAAGTTACCTCCTTAAATTTGCATCTAAATTAATTACCCCACCTCTGTTATTATTAGAAAAATAAAATAAATATATATCTGGTTTACCAACTTATCATTAAAAGGTTTAAATATCCATGAATTATGCCTATGTATGTTTCTACACACTTCTATCACTATTAATATATAAAATACTAATTGAAATTAAGCATGCATGATTTGTCACCATGCAAATCAACGTACACATGCATGCACGTAATAATATACATATTTCTAGGTTTCCAATCATGAAAAACGTTCCCTTAACAACTCCATTTAAATAATATTAATACCCATCAAATAAGAGTTTTAAGTAAAATACAAAAAGAAGAGTTTTCACTAAAATATATATTTCTCTATATATATATGACTATCTATATATCCTCGAATCCTTGTTTTCAATAAAATAAAAAGAAGTTTTTTTTAATAAAAGGCACAACAAACATAAGAGTTACAACATAATACGTAAATAAAAAGTTCACAACAATTGAGAAGATAAAAAATGGAAGTTAAAATCCAGATTCATAACATCACAAAACATGGTTGCAACAAAAGCTAGCCATAAGCTAAGGTGTCAAGTAAACACATATTGAATACACACGTAGGTGTGATGTGGAGGAAAAAAAACTACATATATGGATGAAAGAAACATATAAAGTAATTGATAATTTGTCACTAACATGGATAGACATAACAGAGTGTGTGCAAGATAAGAAATTTCTAATACCTTGTTTCTCCTAAGATTGTAGGCGTGTGAGCATTGGTTGATGTACATGTATAATAAACAGAGATTTTCTTGTCAAACATCCCCCCAATAGAAAATTGGATATCAGTGGGATCTGTCGTATGTAGCTGTATATCCCTGATTAATATGTGCATAATCCATGGGTGTTTTTCTTTAACACCCCCTCCCCCACGCCTTCATGAAGAAAAATGTACCTAATATAATACGTACTGTGCGTGTTCTTTCACTAGAATAAATTAATATGTGAAAAATATTTATTCAAGACAGTAGCTGCTAAAGTATTTGCGCAAATGATAAGAAACAAATTTTGTAGATACAGCTGACATGCTTTTGGATGATTGGATCCCATCACACATTATTTTCCCCTATCAACGCTTGGATGCGCTCCCACTACTCCACAAGGCAAGCTGGCAAGGTTTCACTTTAGGATCAATGCAAAGACCTACAACAAAGGGAGAAGTCATGAGCTACATGTAGATCGACTGTACAACTGCATATATATGAATATGTGACTTCAGAGAATGCATGCGTGCCCTAGCTAGGTAACCTAAGTCTCATCATCGCTTGGAGGATTAACCTGCTTGTGAGCTTCGCCAGTGGGTTACTGACGACGATCAGCTGGGAAGAAAGGAAGGGCGAAGAGGAGAAGCAGCATGAGCATCGGTATCCAGACGAAGAGCGCCGGCGGAGAAGGCGGCAGCGCTGGCAGAACGAGAGGGTACCAGAGGAGGACGACGACCAGCGCAAGCAGCAGCAGCACCGCCGCCGTGTCCATCTCAGGCTGATGAGTGGCTGTGTCACCGCCACCGGCCGCCGGCCACTACTCTCAGCAGGGAGCTACGAATATATATATGCTATATATAGTCCAGTCCAGTATCATGTGGAAAAAGCCAAGATTTCTGCTTGCGAGACGACTGGCACATACTGTATACAGCTAGCCGGCCACCCCACCATGTTATATTTGGGAAGATGCATTTTACCTAATGACGAGTTGATTGGATAGCATTTTAACTGGAATTAGCCGTACCCAGTCCGTCAGTCGTACATGAAAATTAGTACTACTACACAATACACATCTGAAGATCTGATCTACTCATGCATGGATTATCTCCCAGGTAATGGCTAGCACGCATGCACAATTTGCACGCTCTTGTTGGCAGTAGCTATCTTAGCTTTGCATGCGCAGAATCTTTTGCAGGCACAATGATGCAATGCAAGCATACAATGGGAGCCAGCATACAGAACTCATCAGGGAGACCATGTTCAAAGTTCAAACTTTGAACGAAGTGCAAGCGCTGCTAAAATTAATATAACTTCTAAATTGCATTGTCTTGTAGTATAGATCGATCACACAGCAGTTTACAGCTTGGTGGTTAGTGATAATGGACTAAACCTCTGAATAAGTTGTATTGCAGGGACCTTATGAAAAGCGGGAGAGATCGAAGGGCGCGGCCTATTCATCAGTAACTCACAAATTAATGGTTCGTTCAGATAGGGATATGATGTGGATTAACCTGTGCTAGCTAGTGATATATTACTATTATTCATAAAAATAAGAAACATCTGGCCATCTATTGCAGATTTTAATAATCGCCTAATTAATTTAAATTTCCCACATATACCAATCGTAAACAATTTAGAGTAATCACCTAAATTTGCATCTAGATTACCTACATTTGTCTGTCAGTAGCAACACATTAAATCTGCATGACTGCATCTAAAAAAATAGCTATCCCTGCCATTATAAAGGGAAAAAAAAGGATCAATGAGGATTGGAAATCATATAAACCTATCCATTATAAAGGGAAAAAAAGGATCAATGAGGATTGGAAATCATATAAACCTATTGATAACTAAAGCCTATCATAATAGGATAAACCATTACAAAGTATCATGTTGGAATATAATTTTATAAACAGATAAAAAAGAGAGCAAAGCTAAGCAATTATTCTTCGTTCTAAATTGTAAGTTGTTCAGACTTTTCTAAATTGTAAGTCTTATTATATATTTAGACAAAATGTATATATATATTTAGATACGCATTAAATGTTATGTTTACAATTTAAAACCGAAGGAGTACTGTTTATTTCCACATCTATAATGCATCCAGTTGCCACACTCTGCGAGTCCGCGCATTATTGTACCCAGATGCATACTTGTAGTGGCCGCATCATCGTGCGAGCATGCGTGGAGGTTTACTAATAACCTATAGCCCTGCTTGGTTTGGATTTGTATCCAGATTCAGGTCACCTGATGCATGCATGTCATTAGCTAGCTAGTCTCGAGTGCTGGGAAATCGGTGTCCTCTGGTGCCGTGCATGCCAAGCAGTACTTGTTTATAGTTTAACCCCTGGGCCGGGTGCAATGTACCTGTACTGGCTGCATGCAATAAGGTAAGGTTTATTAGGCGCCACACTAAACTACTCCTGTCGTATCTAGCTAGAATACGTATAAATTTTCTCTGGCTACTAGGGTTTATATAGCCTCCCTTGGTTGGGAAATCTAATGAGCAATCTAGGATGAAATGATCTTCCTTTTTGTTTTCTTTTCTTTGACAAACAAAAATAGAATGGGCCATGGAGGAGAGCCGGCTGGCCCATGCATGCGTCTCGTCGCATCCATCTGGCCCAACTTTGTACAGCCTCGCAGCCCAAACAGGTGGCCCGGCCGGAGTCAAACAGGCGCCATGCATATGCATGATTCCATCTCATGTGGATAAACACGGTTTGCTAAAAAAAAAGTGGATAAACATGGTTCGATTTTAGAAATAAATTGAACTGAACGAGTATTAGTGTACGATATTAATAACTGTATATATGAGGGTTTATTTTACAGAGCTCCTAGAGCAACTTCCAGATTGTATTCAGGAGAAGAAGTTCTGAAACTTAGGCTCTCAGGCCACTTAATTAACTGATTGCTCAGCAAGATCGCAAGCGGAACAATTTTTTAATTGAAAAGTGATTCCATCCTAAAGGCCTATTTAGCAGAGCTCCTCGTCCTCCTCCAGACTTGTAGAAGCTGATTATCTATGAGAAATAATTCTAACTAAAATTGATTCTTTAGGATAAACTCTATGCATACAACGATTCTATGTGAATTAAGAGAAGCTACTTTTTCCAGCTCCCAACCCTTTAGGCCTTGTTTAGCTTCTCCTCTAAAGTTTACTCCCTATCACATCGGATGTTTAGACACATGCATGGAGTATTAAATATATACTAAAAAAATAACTAATTGCACAGATTGCGACTAATTTGCGAGACGAATTTTTTAAGCCTAATTAGTCCATGATTTGACAATGTTGTGCTACAGTAAACATGTGTTAATGATGGATTGATTAGGCTTAATAAATTCGTCTCGTGGATTACTGATGACTTCTGTAATTTATTTTATTATTACTATCCGAACACTCCCATGTGACACTGCGATGTAACACACGATGTGTGTCGGTGCAGAAAATGACCAACACGTAAATATTTGTAGTTTTACCGTACGTTGTGATTGGATGTGGCCTAGCACCCAATGACACATGGTTTATACTGGTTCAGGCAACGTGTCCTACGTCCAGTCTGAGTCGGTCGGTGACTTTATTGCTGAACTCAGGTGCTCGAAGTTTGCTGTGGGGTTATAAATGAGAGGGAGTAAGATGGGGGTGTCAGAGGTCTTGTCGGACTCCAGACCGAAGGGCCAAGAGTGGCGGGAGCTCCAACGTGTGCTAAGTGTTCGGACGTATGCTCTATCTGGCCTTGGAGTTCAGGCAGAGAGAATCGTCTGTTGTCTATGTGAGTCGTTGGGTGTCATCCGAATCATCGAATCGTCCTATTTTTGAGAGAGTGCATCCCCTTTTATAGATGAAGGGGATGGCTTTACAAGAGAGAGAGAGAGTGCGAGAGAAAGAGAGTGTGTGTGCTATCTAGTCTTGTTACCCATGCCGTCGGGTACAAGGTGGTTTGTCGGCGCCCACAATACTGTTGATGGTTGGATGCTTGCGGTTGGTTCCACCGTGTTCTTCTGGTCATGCAGGAGCCTACCATACTGTAGGTCAGATGTCGGCGCCCACAACATTGTCCGGGTCCTGACATGTCTGGAAGGTTATAAAGTACCCTTCTGACATGACCTGATAGTACTGTCCTGCAGGTGTGTAGGGTACGGTCCTCGGTATTGCGGTTGACTTGAGTGCCCTGTCTTACTTGCTCCGCCTACTCTGGGTCCTTACCGAGCGGGCGTCCCCGTTCGGTTGTTTCCCAGTTGGCTCCGACCGCGCCGGTCGAAAAAGAGCTGTAAGCAGAGGTTCGGTGTACTCCCGGTAGGAGAAGCGGGTCGGAGTCGGAAGCGAGCGTCGTCTCTCCTTGGCCAGGCCTTCCGGTCGGAGAGGCGGGTCGGAGTCGGAGCCAGGCCTTCCGGTCGGAGAGGCGGGCCGGAGTCGGAAGCGAGCGTCGTCCTCTCCTTGGCCAGGCCTTCCGGTCGGAGAGGCGGGCTGGAGTCGGAAGCGAGCGCTGTTTCTCCTTGGTCAGGCCTTCCGATCGGAGAGAGCGGGATCGCCCTTCTGCCCTGTCGTTAGGTATTTGGGCCGGCCCAGGAGTTGCGCGTCGTTCGCAACGTTGTCTGCTGGGCCGAGCTTTTGCCGGGAAGCAGGTCCATGAGGGACCCCGGGTTTATGAACCCGACAATGTGACATCCCAAAACTTTATTTCCTGGATTTAAACACCACCTTAGTTCATTTCAAAGAATCACTTCACATAATCAGCGAAGAATCACTTTTCGATAAAAAAAACTATTTGACAGAGCTTCTGCTGGATTCAACTTGGAAGCTGTTCTAGCAAATAGACCTTAATTCTATGAAGTGATTCTCGGAATAAACAAGGGGAGAGCTATTTTTTTTTCCTCATTCACCCCATATACAACGTTACTATATGTACAGAGTTTATCCTGAGAATCATCGTAGAGAAATATTGGCAATCAAAAACTCAGGTTTCACCGAGAATCTGAAATAGAAAAAACTCCACCAAACAGGCTCTAGGATGTGCACGGCGAGACCCATTAGTTTTAGTAGAGATTTGAAGAGTGAGCGGCTGCAGCAAGTTGCAAGATATCCAGTGGGCTAGCCGCAAGCCGGCCGGTGTGCATACATCGGCTATGGACGGACCAACGAGCAGAAAAGGCGAAAAGCTGTCATGCGTGTGCATGGCTGGCTATCCGTAGCTAGTTTTGCACAGCTGATCAAGTAGCCAGGTTCATTGCATTGCATTGCATTGCATTGCATTGCGCTACCCTTTTTGGCCAAATAGATCGATGTAGCGAGCAATATGCGCAAGTGGTCACTTTTCAGGGGTACGGCGAAGCCAAGAAACAACAAAGCTGTCTGCAATGCTTTGAGTAATCAACTTGGCATGCATCCCTCTTTATTTCTTGGCCGGCCCCATATCCTTCCTTAAATAGTTTTGGGTCCACTTGCAATGCTAGGTTCGATCGATGAGTGTACATAAATATAGGAGATAATGAATCTCCAAGTAAAATTTAAATGTTTTTTATCGTGATATTTAATTGGTTAGATACAATTATATACATATGAACATGCTGAATATGAAGTTAATGGCTACCCAGCATTTTTAAACTATTTCTCCAATCCTATCTGTCTTTTATTTTCATGCGGCTAGAGGTTTGTAGCGTTTTTAAACGTATCCAAATATTATGACGAATAAACTGGTTAATTTGTTAGCAGTGATGTCGATCTGTTTTGCTATTGTTTTATCATTATTATCAGGGAAAGATATATACAAGTAAACTAGCAAAACTATCGAACACTCAGCAAAATGACTTGGTTTGTTTCACAACGTATACAAGTTCACACTCACCATTATGAATGGACTAAGGAAACTCAATGCCAATAGTGCAAAAAGTGTAATAAATCAAACTAAAACCAGGAGTGTACACCTCTTGCTGAAACTCGCAAATCTACATGTAGTGCTCTAAATGCATTCGTTGTTCTTCTCCAGAAGCCATTACACTGCAAAACTTAGAACTTATAGGAGTATACTACATAGCAATAAAATTTCCTATCAATCATGAATAACTCTACGTAAAAACTAAAACTCTTATACTAACTAAAAAAGTATATATATACGTTCACAAAAGATGCATAAAACTTCAATTTAGGTGGAATTTTTGCTTGTTTATTTGTTGCAATGATCTTTAATTTCTAGAAGACATCACCGGTGAAAAGTCAAAAACAAATTAGGAAAAAAAGCCACGCGTGACTTGTCATCGCAATCGCCGTCCTCGCCTGCGGCACCCTCGCTCATGAGAGAGGGGGCCACTGCCCCTGACCATACTAGATCTGGCCACCAACGACAGATAGGGGTAAAAATACCCTAGGGAAAATTCGTTTATGTAGTTAGAGCTTATTAATTAGCTAGGGTCGCTAAAAAAGATGACCGTTGGTTAAAAATAGTATGCAAAGAAAATTACACGTACCATAACACGACTTGTTCGATCTAGTATTTATTGCTCACTGATGATCATCAGCCGCCCTACGATTTTCCATCCCTTGATTTGAACTCTTTATACATTTAGCTTAATAATATTCCAAGCTGCGGTAACAAGTACTAGTAATATATGAAGGAGAACAATGTTGTTCATTCGCAGTGCTAGCAACTTCAACCTCACCTATAAATCCTGCCTGCTAGTTTAATCCATATATTTGCACATTACATTTCGTTCTACAACCTCTAGAACCCATGGAAGAGAAGAGAAACCAAGATATCCTACTAAAATTACAGCCAGGACGTACACCATCTATAGCTGCATCAATCTTCTCCCCGATCCGCGTCGCTCATTGTAGCCAAAAACGCTGCTGGCTTGCCCGGCGTAGAGGCAGCGACGCAGATCGATGATGTGATGAATGCTGGATGACTGCTGCCGCTGCCGCAGCCGATCGAGTTAAACCACGCATCATATGTGCCCATGGCCATCCATCACTGCATGGATCTGGAGTGATTCGTAGATAGCATCGTCGTCGTCGCGGGTGGGAAGGAAAGCGAGGGAAAGCAGCGAGAGCAGCAGCACGACAGGGACGACCAGCAGCAGCGACGGCGGTGGCGGCAGGGAAGAAGGGAGCAGCAGCGGGAGCAGCAGAAGCACCACGGCCGCCGTCGCGAGGAGCAGCATCACCATGCTTCCTTCCATCGTTGGCCACCGGCTAGCTGCTAGTAGAAGAAGAAGAAGCTGCAAGATCGAGCATGTACTGTGCATGCCCTGAGAGGCTGAGACTGAGATTATTATATTAAAGGAGACCAGGAGGAGGAAGAGGCCGGTGCTATCCACCGCCACCGTCTTATATATGTTCATGGCGTCAATTGATGGGCATATGCATCCGCAACCGGTTCACGTGGGTGCCAATGAAGCAGGTCAGCTTTCAGTGAGCTTATAAACATATACGCTTGGAATTAGAATTTGTCAATTTGGGTAGGAACTAGGAACCAAGATTGCTTGGAATATATTTAGTGGTTGGACCCCCTTCTATTTTACATTGCCTGTGCTTTTTGGAGTGAAGAGTGTCCTTGTTAGCCGTTGCTTCCGAGGGTTTTGGGTCTTGTGTTTCTTGCGACAGTGGTTTTGTCGTTGCCTCTTCCGTGAGGTCGTTGTTTTTGCTTTTTTTCCTTGTATTGTAATGGCTTCTTCTCTATTAATGGCTGGGCTGACCAGCCCACTCATACGGACACTGTTCATATGAACAGTGTTTTCCATCTACCGTAGTGTTTTTTTCTCGTACAAATCAGTTAACGGTACTTCTTCACGAATCAGCAACAATACGAACCCGTCGACCGAACGTGCTGAATACTTGTCCGGATACTCGTGTAGCTGGCTCTTCAAAAATATTTACGGGATGGAAAAAAAAGATAAAGGTTTTAGCAAGTCGTGGTCGTGGTAAGTGTCGATTTGTGTCCCTTTTTTTTTCCATAGATGCACATGCACGCAAGGCCCAAATCCGGGTACTCCCATGCTCCCAAAGCGTGGCCATCACATCGTACCTACGTCTGCTATAGGTGCTACTGCTTGTGCTTCAGTGCTTGGAATGAATGATGTTCACTGCACCTAGATAGCTGTGAAAACCCAGCTAACATCCTCGTGCAACTTGGTACGATGTTTCTTGACAGGTACTCCTATATAAAACGCTACAAAGAAGTTTCAACGATATTCGATATGAACAGAGGCGCGGAACCAGGGGGCTAGCAGGGGTTGTCTCCCCCCAGTGCTTGGAATGAATGATGTTCACTGCACCTAGCTAGCTGTGAAAACCCAGCTAACATCCTCGTGCAACTTAACATCCTCGTGCAACTTTCGGTAACGATGTGTTAATTATGACTAATTAGGTCGAAACTCGTGCTATATAAAACGCTCTACAAAGAATTTTCAACAAGATTATTCGAAAAATTTTGGTTTTTGGATGTAACTAAACGGGGCCTTAACATCCTCGTGCAACTTGGTACGATGTTTCTTGATAGGTACTGCTATATAAAACGCTACAAAGAATTTTCAACGATATTCGATAAGAACAGAGGCGCGGAACCAGGGGGCTAGCAGGGTTCGCCACCCCCCCCCGCCCCACGCACCCACACACACCCCAACACACACAGTACAAAAAATATTAATATCTCTATAAGTATAAGTATTCATTTCGTAGCATAACAATGCATCAAATTAGCTATTTTTTATGATAATCTTGTGATTTTTCTTTATACATACTAACTACATATGTAAAAATATTCAAAAATTGTTGAGAAATACATTTAGGCATATATTTGTCACATTTAGACATGTCATCGTATTTGCCCGGCTCTCCATAATCAAAATGGCTGGTTCGACGTGGTTTATGTGGTTGCTTAAGCCATTCTCTCTGCAATAATAAGCCACAATCAGCTAATTGTGTTCGACGTTACTGGTTTTCATATCAATAAAAGCTTCCTAGATAAAAAAAAGAAATATATAAATGTCGATATATGCACGGGGCAGATTCACTTTGACCTGCCTCTCTTTTGAGGGTAACATCTAACAAAGAGAGATTCACTTCACCTGATCAGGTACGTAATCTTTAATTTGCCCATGGATCACTAGCTAAACAATCTGCATTGCTTTCGAGAGGACATTCCAGGGCAACTTGTTTCAAAAAAAAAAAAGGACATTCCAGGGCAACTTGCTGTACGAAGCCGCGATGGTCGTGTGAGCAGCCGGATGCATTGAACCATGGGCCATGGTTAGATATACAGCTAGCTAGCTACTCCGTACTTCAAGTGGTAACCCATTTTATATATATTAAAATTAAACTCTCAATAATTGTAGCCAGAGCTGAGCATTTGGGTTTCGAGAAAGAGCAAAGCTGCAAGTGGTAGGTCTCCTTTGTTGTGCCATCAACTACACCAAGTCTCTGCTATGCATGCGGCTCCTTTCTAACGACAGAAAAGTTGCTGGGGTAAATTGCGCAGTACTGTATGATGCAGTAGTCGGGTTGGAGATGACAGATGAAATGGTTGCTGCAGGCAGCCTTTCGCCGAGACGGATTCGTTGTTTGAGTCGATGAAGATCTCGCTCAGTGCTTAAATAATTGTCATTGCCAGTGTGCGTGCCGTAAATTTGATTTGATTAGTAGAAAATACGTATAATATTTATATCTTTAAATAAATTCATTAAAAAACTAGATTCAAAGATCTTTCTAATGATACTAATTATGTACCATAAATATTAATATTTTAATATATATAGTTAAAGTTGTTTTTCGGGAAGCGAAAACGACAGATATTTATGGAATGCCCTTGAAAGAATAGATTCCCAGTAAGTTTGAAGACACATTAGCACATAAAAGAAAAAACCTTACTACCCTTTATTAAGCTTATTAACTTTAATTGAAGTCACCACTTGGTTAGAGCAATAAGTTTTGGTGTTTCCAATAATATATTAAATGTTGTTGCACCCATCACATCAACCGTTGGAGTATGATGTCCTGTAGGAATAAATGAGTATGTTGACCGCTTGAAACTCTGAGGAAATAAATGGGTCTGATGAGCAGTGATGGCCTAGAAGTTGATTTATTCATGTATACATTTTTAGTCTAGAAATCTATTCTTTCAGGACATCTCAGGGACAGAAAGAGTAAGCTGCTAAAGCTGTTTTGGCATCCGGCCGATCTCGTCATTTCGTCACCCTTCACCCAGCGGTGCGGCCGCCTGGATGCAATGAACCTCCAACAAGTGGTAGTCCTAGATTAATGCAAGTAGTATAGTAAGTACATATTTGTTCAGTACGGTGCAACTAGGTAGGGCATGAGCTAGCCAATCTCTACGATTTGTAGTAAGCGGGAAAGCATTCGACATGCTCTTCAACTAATTGTATAATTATGCAAAATTCTTGTGGTTTGGTGTGGCTCTATATATTCTTCCAACTTCAACTTGCATGGAGGTCTGGCTTTCAACCGGGTAGTCTATAGTCCTCTGACTGGTTTCAAAGGTAGCTCTCGATTTTCTAAAAATAACAAAAACACTGGCTTAATCTCTAAAGTTCATAACTAATTTAGTTTAAATAAAAAAAGGAAACTAGTATGATTTCCTTCTAAAAATGTTATCTATATGTTGGTGCTATATTTGGAGTTATTTATTTAGATCTTATTTGTTTTAAGTATAAATAATGAGCATGGCTACAAGCAACAAAACAATACGAACATAAATAAATAAGTTAAAAATAGAGCTATCATTCCAAGCTTGTGATTTGCATGAAGATAACGAAATAGAGTAGTTTGCTATCATTCAATAGAGATAATAATAACTTGAGATAAGAGAGAACAAGAAGAAGTGAATCTGTCAAGACCTGGTGAGTCCAGTTTGACTCAAGCTTGTAATCGAATGCTCAAATGCGGTTGGACCAAAGCCAAGCTTGGTAAGGCTGTTCTACACTTAGAGTGCCTTCAATTTCATTAGTTGGTTCGAGTATAAGTTGAGTAGAGCATCATATTTAAGAGGGGTTTCGTTAGCTTGGGTTATTGTGGTTTAAGCCCATAGCAATTGTGGTAGATGATCACTCTGGGTGGTTAAACGGTTCAGGTTGATTTGAGTTAAAACTTTGTTAGTGGTTAGGGTCTCAGTGGATATGAATTGATTAGCAAAGGGGGATAGAACATGTGGCTTCTCTATTTGACTGTCATCATGCATTTTGTTAAATGAATGTGGTTGTTCTAGTTCAATTTGGTGAAAATGTTGTTCCTCTTGTAATCCTCTAGGGGAAGAGTATTTATAAGTTATAACCACTATTGATTATTGCCGTGAAAGTTTGTAGCGTAATGGTTGGTCTCGTGGTTTTAACATCCCAGAGTGAGGAGGTTTTTCACGTAAACCACTGTGTTAATTGTGAATGTGGTTAGTATTATTCCGTTGCTAATTCAGTGATTGATGTGCTCCTTTCCATTATCACCGAAAAAGGTACGAGCAAGCAGCACATACCGGTTAAGCAGCACCTTTGCTCTGACGACAGTGAAAGAAACCGACGGTCCGGTTCCCTGGCCCAACCGACCCACATGAACACATGACCAGCTCTTTATCTCGAGGCCCAACGTTCACGAGAGTCTGGTTAACACCGGTGTTTGTCCCATGATGAGGTGAGATAAAATGGGCCGTATTTGGCAAAGATGCCTGTGATCCCGGGCTTTCCCGGCCCGGTCCAACATAGCGTCTGCCGACGCCGATGCCACCGCAGGACAATTCCACGGCGGCCACAGCCACAGATGTGACAGGTCAGGTACACTGCATGGGAGTGGGAGCTGACGAGATGCTGAGAAAAATCTCGAGGGGGTTGACGGGATCAATCCTAGGATCCTTCCTCGTACAGTGATCTGATTTCCAAATCGATAAAAATGAAGCACCTGCAATTCTTGGTGCTATTCAACCTAAACAAAGCTGAAAATAGAGTAGTTTGCAATTTGGATGCGACTATACATTGTGTTTTCTCTTTTTTATATATCTATACTATAAAAGAGCGAAGGAATTAAAAAATAGCTCTCACCTAAAGTTTCATACCCACCTTATTCGAGGACCCTCGGATGATTATATCTTTAAATCTAACTGTAGATGTTAATCTAATGGTGGGCCATGTATGTAAAAAAGGTCTTACAGTCACGTCTTACACGTTCC